TCCATAACAAACGTCTCCCTGCCTCCAAGAGATATTTTTTTTTTTGGCCACAAAATACTTGGACACATGGCACAGGCTATGGCACCGGGTTGGTCCCTTCTACAGCATCAACTGCGCGACGCCCCACGGGTGCCGTCTGCCACCCCCCGCCAAACCCTGCGCGGTGAGGGGCTGCCCGGTGCTTTGCACCGCGGCGGCTGGGCACACCGGCGTGTTTTGGCAGGAGGACATCTTCTATGCCCCCTCCTGACCTCTTGGAGATTGCATTCCTGGCTCGAGAACAAAGTCTGGTCCCTTGCAGGCAAGCGCTGGGCTCGTGCCACAGTAGATGAAAACCACCAGCTACGTTTTAACGTACATGACGGTACAGGCTGCTCTCATCTCTCTCCTCACCACCTCATCTACAGGCTCATTTCAAGGCTTTCCTTCTACAGGTTCCTCTATTTCATTGAAATTGTTATTTAAATAAAGGAGCTGTTTGCATTATTTTTTTTGTCTCACAGCTCCACACGCCCGACCCCTCATCGCCGCTGGAGCAAGCGACGGGGGGGGGGGATTTCCTTCTTTCTTTTTGCCGCTGCCTGAAGCTCATGGCGAGTTGCTAACGCCGCTTTCAACGCGACACCCCTCGGATGCAGCTGCTGGACGAGTGACCCGAGTCATTAAAAACTTCCCGCACCCCAAAAAGGGCATCTTTTGCAAACCTCCACGTCAGCTTCGGAGGGCAGCGGGATTTACATGTAGCTGCTTCAGTTCTGTGGATCACTGCGCTTTTTAAACATCCCCCCTGTGCCCTGCTACGATTTCTGCAACGTCCCTGCTACGTGGCGACTGCAAATCCAACACAACCCGGGGCCTCTGAGGGTCCAGATTCGGAGCGTTGCGATGGCAAAGCACAAGGGGCTATTTAAGAAGAGGGTTTTTGGAAGCGGGGGATGCAGTTCAAGGTCGTCTTTCTAGGCGATGGCTGCGAGGATTGCTGGTGTTTAGGAAAAGCACAGGGCGAAAGATTGCCTGCAGAAGGCACATCTGGCAGAAAAGGCTTGGGAGGACGCAGAGCCAGCGGTGAGGAACGCTTTAGCAGGCATTTTGGAGGCAGAAATCTATCCAAGGCCATCGAGTGTGGCCGTTTAACACTGGAAGCATTTCATCTTCCCAACGCCGCTCGCAGCCTTTGTCAGCGAATCCTCACGGCGCCCGTGTGAGACGGAGGGAATGTCAGCAGCAGCAGCTGAAACGAAGCTTTAGACATACAATATGCCAAAGAAAATGAAAGAAAAGGCTCCGTCTGTCAACATTTCCTCCTCTTTTTCTCCCTGTGGAGCACCAGCCGTCGGTTGTCACCAACGTGCCGGGGAAGCAGCCAGAGCTGCGGAGGGGCTGGGGCAGGAGGGGGTTTGGACCTGAATCCCAGTTATTCATGCCTGAATCCAGCCCGGAGCGTGGCACAAGTGCACCGAGCTGGCACCGGTGACTCGGCTGCATTCGGTTGAGTTTAGGGTTGAATTAATTTAAATTGTCTTTACCAAAATATTCCCGTGCGCTTTACGCCGGGAACTCCTGAGGCCTCGGCTTGGCGCTGCCTTTGCTGGGAACGGCTCCTGTCACTTATTCGCTCAGGTAAAATGTCACCTGCAGCGAGGGGTGGGAACAGAAAACCTGCAATCTTCTAGTGCTGCTGATCACCTCCTCCTGGAACAGCGTCACGAGGAGCTGCCTCGCTGCCCGCACACCTCGTGAGCGCGCTGCCGTGCCCAACGGCCGCTTCGCGCTGGGTCTGCTTGCCAACAGATGCTCTATGTGCCAAACACAACCAACATTCACCTTTTCAGCCCTTACTTTGACCCTCAACGAGGTGTTACTGGTGGGACTTGGTCACCTGCCTGGGACATGCTCCAGGAGCATCCCCGTCCCTCTGCGTCCCACCACCTAATTCCCTGCCTGCGCTGCGGCAGAGGCACCGTCCTGCTGCCGTCACGCACCGTCTTGAGAAGCAAAGCAGGGGACTGGGCTGATCCGGTGACCTTGGAGAGTAGCCCCAGCTTTCACCTGGATAAACAACCTCTGAGATGGGCAGAGGGTACGTGAGCACAAAGCCTGGCTCGGGGTCGAGGGGAGGTTTGGCAGGGGTGGATCCCAGTCCTGACTACTTCTTTTTCACATCCTGAACTCCTTCTCTTGCAAAAACAAACAGCTTGTTTCCATTTTACTGTCTTTCCCTTGGCTTTAGTCTCCAGGGACTAGAGCTCAACACACACATCAATCTTTTCAGGGCTGGGGCGTGTGGCTGGTCCCTTCCAAGGACCCAGAGAACTGGGCAGGTGCTTCCCACTGAACACCCTTTCTTGGAAAATCCAAAATTGACTCTGAAAATCCTAAGTGAAACCAAACACAATGAAACGTGCGGGCCGTGGTCAGTGCTCCTTTGGTTTGTGGTGGTACAGCAGAGTGTGCCGGCATTAAACGGAGCTGGGAGAGGGGCTGGGACCTGGGAAAACAAGACACGTGGGTGGGAGGTGGCGTGAGGAGCAGAGAGGATTTGCTGTCTGGGCAGCTCTTTGTGGGAGCTGGTGCCACCGGAGGTATTTTAAGGCTGAGATGGGGAAGAGGGAGGGGGGTGCTCCCTTGGGCCGAGCCCCGGCGTTATTGCTGTTAGTGTCCGGCAGCGGGTCCTCGCTGCGCGATGCTAAATGCAATTTTATAATTTAAAACTATCGCTATCCGGGGGGTTCCTGACGCAGCCGCCAGCCCCGCTGGGCTGTGAGCTGGGTGACAGCCACCGGGTGACAGCCACCATGTTCTCCCGCGCCGGCCTGCCCTGCGTGCCCCGCGCTGCTGCCGCTCGCATCCCCGGCAGCGGTTTTGTCATGGATGTCCCAGGAGCGCCGTCCCAGCGGAGCGCAACCTCTGACAGGGACTCTCCTCCTCCTCTCTTCCCGTCCTTCCTGTCGCACCAACCTGCCTCATTTCCCCTCTGCAACTTCTGTCCCAAACTGTGTTCCGCCCAAACCTCTCCCACCAGTCCTCTCCATCCCATGCCACCATACTGCTCCTTTCCCTGCCTCCCCTCGCCCCTGGGCTGCTCTCACACCATCTCTCCCAGGTGGGCGCAGTGAGAAAAGAGATATTGTCCCTCTCAGGGATGGCACCGCAGAAAATTTGGACCTCCTTAGACCTGAAAGACACCCCTGGCCTGGGCTGCCCAGAGAGGACCAGCTGAACTCATGGCTGGCCTGGAAAGACTCATGTTTTCCAGGATGATGGACTTTTCAGAGAGGCGGAGAAGCGGCAGGGATCAGCGTTGCCCACCTGCCCCCAGTGCCATGCTGAGCCATGTCTCACTCAGACACCAAAGAAGCTTTCGGGGTGGACTTCTAAGGGTCCCTCCCCATGCCCAGAGTTGAGCCCCCACCTCTCACGCTCCCCTCTGCCTTCATCCCAACAGCACCCACAGCTCTTGGTGCTGGCAGATGGATGGCCACACGTACCCCGGCCTGGCCGCGCTTGTCCTGCCCTCTGTGCCCCACTTTTTGCTGGGCTGGGGGCTGCCCTTGTGCTTCCCACACCTCTCCCCCTGCCTTTCCTTCCTCCTTTCCCTCTCTTCCTTGCACTTTTCATTCCTACTCCATCACTTGGCTCCACTCAGCTCCCTGAGCCCTCCCTCGCCACTGTATTTAAACCATCCCTCTGGCTTTAGATACTGGTAAAGAGATGCTTTGACTGGAGAAACCAAACCTGGAGCCATCTCTCCTGGCCACCCAGGCAGGAGATGACACAGGCAAGCTACCCGCTCCTGCTTGGCTGAGGAGGCTCCGAGCGCAAGGCCGGGCTTCTCGAGGGTATTTGGGTGCCCGAGGTGCAACAGGGAGCCGCAGGGCTCCGGCACACCCCGCCGTCACCCAACCGCGGTGACGTTTCCCAAAGCACCTCTCCGCGTTTCAGGCACTTGAAGGTCAAACCCTGCCCACGTGGGGCCAGAGCGAAATATTTTTGGTGCGCCCCAGTGTTTTAGGGCCAAAGTTTGGCAAGAGATGCCGCGCGTTTGCCGGAGCATCAGTCGCGCTGAAATCACGGGGCCGGGAGGTGCTTTGGGAAGGGGCGCCGGGTCCCGGACAGGGTGTCCCCGTGCGGGGTCCCCACCAGCCACCCCTGCTGCCCGCACCCCAGGGCTCCCAGCCCAGCTGCCACCGCCCCGCTCAGCCCAGCAGCTCCGTGGCCTCCAGTGAAGCCCCTCGGAAGCGGGTTACCGAAACCACTAGCCGTATTTTAACATTAATTTTGAAAAACTTGAGGTAAAACTGTTACCGGTAACGAAAGTTTTTAGACAAGGCTTAGTAGGTTTTGTTACTGTGTCCTTCTTACTCAGACACCAGCAGCACTCGATCTGGCTGGTTTACTTGTTCGGATAGCTGTCTGGAAAAAAGGAGAATATACAAATCCACGCTGTGGCAGCTGTGTTCAACCAACCCCTCTGGCTTTGGGGTAGGAACCGGAGCCATAAGGTACCCTCGAAACGATCATGTTGTATCTAGCACTTCCCAAAGGAATAGTGTTTTTTTAAAAAAAGATAAATAACCAGGAGGATTAAAAATATCCCTTAATTTCAAGGGGCGGGGGGAAGTTTTGGTTCCAAACTACACTGTCGCTGACCTGTATTTTAAGGCTTTGAATTTTTCTTTTTTTAAAACTGGAGTATTTTTGTCTTTTGGCAGTTGAAATGCACTTTGTGGGCAACGCGTTAGCTCCCTCTACAGCGCTGCGAGTTGGAACAGAGGAGTAGAACAAGGCAGCAAGGGAATGAACCAAAAATAAACCCAAATAAAATAAAACGGGGCTGGGGAAAGCAGAACTTGCTGCTAAGTTTTCTGGGATGGGAGGAGGGATTTACGTGTTTCTTCCTCATCATCTTCTGAGGAGGAAAAAAAGAAAGAGAGAGGACCTGTCCGCCGGACCGGAGGATGCTTCCGGCGGGCGCGAGGAGAGGAGGGGAGGAGAGGGCTTTAGTAGAGTCCGCATCCCCGCAGGTTGTTGGCGATGATGACATCCGTGACGGCGTCAAAGACGAACTGGATGTTGTTGGTGTCGGTGGCGCAGGTGATGTGCGTGTAGATCTCCTTGTTGGGGGACTTGTTCTTGCTCTCGTACTGAGCCTGAATGTAAGCCACCGCCTCCGTGAAAGAGTTGGGGCCTGGAAGAGAGCCGAGACGAAAGGAAAAAGAGGGGGTTAAAGTGATCCCGTAATTGGAAGCTCCCTGTTGTAGGGATATGGGGAGCTCGTACTGCAACCCAGCCGCCCCATCTCCATCCCGGGGACGGGCACCACGACCAGCCAGGACTGCCACAAGGGAGGAGATGCTCTCCGACTGTCAGCTCAGCTGGGGTTTTATTCTGAGCTGCTGTTTATAGTCTACAGCGATGAAACAGATGAGGGAACGGAGTGTTAAACGGGCTGTGATGGGAAAACCAGAAGAAATACCACCTAGTGCTGACAAAACAGAGAAAAAACCTGCCAGGAATGCGGTAAGTGCTTGATGTGGTGCAGAGGCTTAGCTTCTTTCCTGTTTTAGATTTTTTGATTAAAGTTTCAGCTTCTGATGGGAAAAAGGAGCAAAAACGTCCATGAACCGAGGGCAGTATCGGCAACCGTGCCCTCCTTTCCCTGAATCACTAAGAGAAAAGGAGATGAAAAGATCCAGCCTCTGTTACAGAGCAAAGTGGGGTTTTCTCAAACAAAATACAAAAAAGCTAATACGAAACGTCCCTTTTTTGAGGGAACGAAGATCACAGCACCCTCTGCTACAGCTGTGGCTGAACTCGCACCACGAGGAGTTTCTCAGTTTGATGTATAGAGATGTCTGTGCCAAACCTCATTAACCATCAGGTTTTGGGTTAGAAAAGCTTAAGAGTGGCCCTGGTTGTTCAAAGGCAGGAGGGAGGATTTAGATGCTGGATTCCTTCAGGGAGAGCAGGGAACTGCTACCACCAGCTCGGTTTAAAACAGGCCCTGGATTCTGCTGCTGCTTCGCTAAGTATCATGGATTAGTTAAAAGCATGAGTGAATTAAGGGGATGGAAACAGTCAGTGCTCCAGCATACAGCAAGCAAATTTGTGGATGCGGTCTTCTAATAATTCCCTGTCAGCAGAACTAATGGACATCAGAAACTTCATTTTATTAAAAGCATTTGGTGGAACTGACTTGTGATGTTGGAAGTCCACTTGTTTGATTTACAGGCTTTCATCAACTGATTCTTTTTAACTCCAGGGCAACTTTCTAGTAATGCTGCTTATTCACAAGGCCACAAGGGCTCCATCCTCTGAGCCGTGGTCAGCAAAGCTGGGATAAGCAAACTTAAGTGTTTGTTTGGGTCTAAAGTCTGGCTTAACATTAGCACGAGCTAACTTCCAACTTTTAATGGCATTGCTGAACGCCCTGGGGTGAGATGTTCTTCACCTCTCATTCAGATCCCAGTTGGATCAGTGGAAGGACTTTCAGCCTTTGGACTTCCAGCCCTCTCTCATGGCACTAGAGAGAAAAGAGGTCTGTGGAGGGTCCCGGGCACTGGGATAACTCCCAGCTTCCAGAATGGCACTTCGAAGGAATTTAGAGCATCTTTGTAGTCCCCTGAGATTTGAGGAAGACTGGTTTGGTTCACTCGGAGCTGAAGTGATCCAGAAACAAAGTGTATTGGTTTTCCTCTGTGTGTATGAGGGGTCGCCTCCCCCACTGTTGGGCTGGGATAGCTTGGAAGGAAAAATTATATCTAAACCGACATCCTTTCTTGTTCTAATCTCTCTGCCGTAAGGGATTTGTAAGGATATAATTCCAGAATGGGGCCACAAAATGCGATCAGGAAGGAGTGAAAGGTGCAGGTTTGCTTAATGGAGAAAAGGGCAAAAGAAAGACAGCACGATACAACCCTTCTGGTATATAGAAGTGCTGCTATAAAGAGGATGGTGATGAGCCACGCAAAAGACGGCAAGCAGCAATCTAATTTGCAACCAGAAAACTTTGGGGTTGGCACTATTGTGAGCTTTCAACCGTAAAGACTGTGAAATTTCCATTATTAGATCTTTTTAGACAAACATGTCAGGAATATGTTGGTTCTGTCTGGCCCAAGCAGATGAGTAGACGGCTGAAATGTGTTGGGAGTGACAAACATCCAAACCTTCCCTGGAGAGGGAGCCTGCAGATGTTCTGAATTCAGATGGAGTCGTCGAGCTCCATAGTCATAGACCATCCAGCCCAAAGCAGCGATGATGGATCGCTTTCGCCTATTCACAGTGAAAAATCAAGTGCTCGGAGATAGGAAGCTCTGGTTAATAATTTGTTGGGCTGCCCAGAAATGTGACACTCTTGGTGCTCCCGGTCCACAACTATGTTCCCTGACAAAGAGATCTGCTTCTCTGTCTGTCGGCTTGATTCATCTGGATGTCTCCGGTGAGCTTAAATAATTCATGACGATAAAAGTTTATTTTTACGCTGTCTCGGAACGGTGATGAAGCTGGCGAGATGCAGCGGGAAGCAGCGGGGTGCAGCTGCAGCCCTCACATGGGTGATGTATTCTCATCAACAGCAGGTCAGATGCCAGACAGGCAGCAGAAGCAAGGGCTCCTTGCACGTTGCCCGGCTGCAGAGCCTCTGCTCGGATCTCCGAGCATCACCATGGCCTCCTTCTCCCTGGCCAAGCTCAGGGCACAGCTTGCTGTGGCTCTTCTCTGTCTGAGAAGGAAACTGAGGATGTCCTAAACCAGTGTGATAAAAATTTACAGCTTGAGCTGAAGCAGCCAAGATGTGGGACCTGCCGTCTGCACGCTGGAGGGCTGACCCTGCAGCCCCTTGGTGCCTCCCAGAGACCGGCTGCCCACCTGTAATGGTTAAGCTCACTGTGTCTTTCTGAGATATCTGCAAGAGGGTTCGTGTTCCTCAGCGATGCTGGGAACCAGGGCAGGGGTTTAAGGAGCGTGCTGCCAGCCCCACGTCTGCAGGTGCTGGCTCGGCATCGAAACCGCCCGTGGGGCAGAGATCAAACAACCTGCTTAGTGGTGGTGGCCCTTTACCAGTGAAGAACTTGGGTTTAAGTCATCCTTTCGCTTTAAGTGGACCACTAAAAGTGGTGAGGGTGATCCTATGGCATTTATTGAAATAAAACTTGCAGGGAAGCGAACAGAAGCTCTAGCTGTGCATCTTGATCCTCATTGCCTGCGATACAGCGCAGTGTCAGTCTGGATGAGGAACACTCCGGGACCCCTTTGCTATGCAAAGCATATGCTTCTGGGGCCCTCAACACAAGAAGGACATGGAGCTGCTGGAGTGGGTCCAGAGGAGGCCACAGAGATGATCCGAGGGCTGGAGCACCTCTGCTATGGAGACAGGCTGAGAGAGTTGGGGCTGTTCAGCCTGGAGAAGAGAAGGCTCTGAGGAGACCTTCTAGCAGCCTTCCAGTGCCTAAAGGGGCTACAAGAAAGCTGGAGAGGGGCTTTTGACAAGGCCGTGCAGTGACAGGACACGGGGCAATGGCTTTAAACTGAAAGAGAGGAGATTTTGATGAGAAATAAGGAAGAAATTCTTCCTTCTGAGGGTGGTGAGGCACTGGAACAGGCTGTCCAGAGAAGTTGTGGACACCCCATCCCTGGAAGTGTTCAAGGCCAGGTTGGATGAGGCTTTGGGCAACCTGATGTAGTGGAAGGTGTCCCTGCCCACGGCAGGGGGTTTGGAACTGGATTATCTTGAAGGTCCCTTCCAACCCAAACCGTTCCATGATTCTACAATTTCCTATACAGCCAGCTTTCTCATTACCTGTATACTCAGGAAAGCAGATAGACAGTGGAGATTTCTTAATTTTCTCCTCAAATATGTCCTTCTTGTTTAGAAAGAGGATGATGGACGTATCTGTGAACCATTTGTTGTTGCAGATGCTGTCAAAAAGCTTCAGCGATTCGTGCATGCGGTTCTGCAACAGAAAGGACAGATCACATCAGGCCAAAGACAGCGATGTGGGGACGTTCAACACGTAGGGAAATCTAAAGCAACTAAATTAAGGAGGAAAACAACAACAAAAAAGAAAAGCTACGATATACATAATAAATTTATGTATACATACAGCTGAACATATACGTACACAGATGCAATCCCTATAACATCTGACACACGGTTAATAACCGAAGGGCATTTAACTATAGAGAGCTGTTTTGATTTTGCATAGCATAGAATTTACAGGATCCCAGCTCCCAGAAATCATCATGCACCATGCATGGATGGGGAATTACTTTTGCCCTTTGATCAGATATACGTGTCGCTGTAGCTCATGCAGATTTTCTAAAAGTTTTCTTTTTTTTTTTAAACTTTCTCGAGTGTGTGTGGCACACAACTGGTTGGATACATTAACCAAGGACTGGTAGATCCTTGAATTAATCTAGAGTTGGAAGCAGACATCAAGGGGACATAATTTTGGAACTGACCTTGCCGTGACCTTCACCTGGTTTTGTTACTTGTTTAGTGTTGTTGGGATTTTAATTTTTTTAATTTTTTTTTTTTGCTTGTTTAGTTCTCTTGGAAGATAGCTCAACAGAAAGTGTCTGGCAGAGAGGAAAAAAAAGTGAAAAAGGAAGAGGAAATAGTATAAAAAGGAAAAATGTAACGAAGGGCATCCAAGAACAACCAGACTAGAAGTCAGGCAGCTACTGCTGATGTTAGCTCATGCCTCTAGAAGAAAATTAGCTAGTGGCCAGCAGAAGAGCTGTACGTTCAAACGCACGCAGGGCGAGAAGTCAACGTTTTGGTTACAGGTCATGCAAAAAAAGGACACAGGAAAGGAGAGAGGTAAGAAGAATGATAAAAGCAGACCAGTTAGAGAGTCGTAAAGTCCACCACACGGTTCTATGGCGGTGGAAAGAGCTCACGGCAAAGTCAACCAAGTGTCATGCTCCCCGCTGCTTTCAACTCTCAACTCGCTTTGAATTTTTTTTTTTTTTTTTTTTTTTTTCTCGGTTCAAGAGAAGCTTCATACCTGCCAAATTTGGTTGGTCTCTCAAATGCTCATTTTTTGGCCTTTGTTTGGCTAGATAAGGTCAGTCGGCCGAGGAAAAGCTGTGAAGGTGCCGAGGCTGGCGACGTTTGGCGCGCGAGGCCGACGCCGGAGTGCGCACGCCGGGCGCGTGGCCGTCTCTCAGCCGGGAGCCGGGGAGCGGAGAGAGCAGGCGCGGCGAGGACGAAGCACACCCAAGAGTCAGGGGGTGATCAAAGGCAAAGCACGGTACAGACCAGACCGGCTCCTCGGCTTTTCCCAGCGGCATCTCCTCGGGACGGCACTCCCCAAACCCGCTAGTGCACACACGAGACTGGGTACAACGGCCGCCG